TATCATCTTGGGGTCTTGGACTTGACGCTCTGATAGATGAAGTCATATCGTCTTGGGGTCTTGGACTTGACGCTCTGACAGACGTAGGGATTTCACCCGGGTTCCCCAAGACCTGAAAAACACAACAGTTCAGTGAGAGATAAAGATCCACTTGTGTGTACAGGTTAAGAATATGAAGCCGAGTAGAAGAAATACCTCACCTTGGTAACTCATCCCCATCACCTACCTCACCACTACCTCACCCCTGCCTCTTACCCCTACCTCTTACCCCTACCTCTCATCTCTACCTCTCATCTCTACCTCTCACCTCTACCTCTCGCCTCTACCCAATCCCTACCTAATCCCTACCCATCCCTATCCTCTACCTCTGTACACTTAAAATAATCCACTCTATTTATCCATTCTCCTGTTTATTGAGAGGTTCCTGTCTCCCTTGATCCACCCCGAGCAAATATGGGAGCACATACATACAAACATACTCACATACATACATACAAGTAAATCACTGTAGGTGCGCGTGATCTAGGTATATGCTGATAACCACAAGGAAAGAAGAAAACACGAAGTTCCCAAGCGCTTGGGAACTTCGTGTTTTCTTCTTTCCTTGTGGTTATCAGCATATACATACATACATTCATACAATCATACATACATACAAACGTCTACGTAACCAAGTTATCAGGGAAATCAAGTCAGCCAAGAAGTCTTCTTATCCCAGGAAAGTGCACAGCCTGAAGGAGGTCGGCATCGGTCAGTGGTACTCCAAGGTAAAAGATCTCTGTGGTCTTAACCGTCAGTCTCCCACATTTCCTTTTATCTCTCATTTACCCAGTGAGGCGGCAGCTGAGAAAATTAATAACCACTTTGCTACCATATTTCATACCCTACCCAGTCTTGACCTCACTCTCCTCCCGGCCTACTTACCTTCCCCCTCCCCTCCTCCCAGTGTTCAACCATTTGAAATTGCCAACAAACTCCTGAAATTTAAATCCAAACACTCTACAACCCCAATTGACCTCTCAATCAAAATTTACAAGGAGTTTGCAGTCGAACTTGCCACCCCCCTCTGTTCCATTGTTAATGCATCCCTCAGACAAAGCAAATGCCTTAATGAATGGAAAACCGCATATGTCACCCCTATCCTCAAGGTCCCCACCCCACAGTTCCCTAGAGCCTTTAGGCCAGTTGCCATCACCCCCATACCCAGTCTACTCTGTGAAGACTTTGTTTTTGAATGGGCATCTGCTAGTATTTATCAGTCAATTGATTCACAGCAATTTGAGGACCTCCTCTACATCACACTGCTTAGTTAGTTTCCTGGATTTTCTGCACAAAAACCTGGAGAAACGTAAGACATCACTGGCCGTTGCCCTTGTTGACTTCATGAAGGCTTTCGACCTTCTTGATCACTGCACTGTTATCAACAAGGCCATTGCACTAGAGCTGCCCACCAACCTGGTCTCATTATTATCATTATTGCATACATACATACATACATGCATGCTACATACATACATACAAAGCTGAAGTGAGAAAATTCTTATGACTCAAATACCTGATAAGTGTAGAGTTGACAGTTTATTCTTGGCCGATATTTCGTCTCAGGAGCTGGACAGGTGTACTTCAGGTAGCTGGGGCAGGTGTGGGTAAGATAGTCACTCAGGTGTGGGATGGGTAATGGAGCAGACGTGCTTCAGGTAATCAGGCAGGTGTGGTTTCGATAAGAAACGGAGAATGACCAGACTCTCTGTGATGGGATGAGGGAGAATGACCAGACTGTCTGTGATGGGATGAGGGAGAATGACCAGACTGTCTGTGGTGGGATGAGGGAGAATGACCAGACTGTCTGTGGTGGGATGAGGGAGAATGACCAGACTGTCTGTGATGGGATGAGGGAGAATGACCAGACTGTCTGTGGTGGGATGAGGGAGAATGACCAGACTGTCTGTGGTGGGATGAGGGAGAATGACCAGACTGTCTGTGATGGGATGAGGGAGAATGACCAGACTGTCTGTGGTGGGATGAGGGAGAATGACCAGACTGTCTGTGGTGGGATGAGGGAGAATGACCAGACTGTCTGTGATGGGATGAGGGAGAATGACCATACTGTCTGTGATGGGATGAGGGAGAATGACCAGACTGTCTATGATGAGATGAGGAAGAACCAGACTGTCTGTGGAGGAAGTAAGGAGACCACAGACTGCCTGGGAACAACACATGTGGTTGATGATAGTGACGAAGGCAACACTGAAGGTGAGAACCCACAGTTGTGTCTCCTTGAGGTGTTATCTCTTCCTTACTGATGAATAACACAATGTTTGTGGCCCACATAAGCTTACTTGGGTCTCCTATGGGGTCAATTGTGTGTCTGTGGATGAGACTCATGTTAATCATATACTGTTTACTTCTCACCAATGCAAAGTTTGGTGTAAAATATCACACTTGTAGTTGGTGTCTTTCTTCCATATCACGCTGGGGCTCGTGTCCTGTTTTTCCTTTCTTACAAAATATTTTTTTGTACACTTTTTCCCTTTTTTCTGGATGATAAGAGGTTTCAAATTTAAAACCTGCGCAGCGTAGCAACAAATATATTGTAAACATGACTATTGAAATAACTAAGCAGGTCACCACTGAAGAAGCAGCGGCCACGCTAAGCGAATTCACTGTGGGGTCTTCGGTGTCTGGTGGGGGTAGCAATTGTGACTCTCCACTTGTGGGGTCACACGTGAAGCTGAAGAAGGTCTCGCCCTCAGCCCTCACGATAAAATTCCTAAAGGTGTTACAAATGTTAAGGCCAACTGATATAGTCTTTGCCGGTCTGTAGTTGATGAAGATCTCAAAGATATTCTGTTCGTCGTCGTACTGCAGGAACAAATAGTGCCACTTTGAAAGGGGACTCAGTTCTTCGATGTGGTCTCGGGTTAAGGTGGTGTCGCCAAAACGTACCTCATGACCCAAGGGCGTCTCGCACTTCATCTCGAAGTTCAGTCGAGCGAACTCTCTGCCAGGTTTGAAGAAAAATTTCTCGCTGCGTTTCTTTAATTCTTTCACAGTGGATAACCTGTTACCTGAAGCTGGCGAGCCTCGGACAGCTGGGCAGTTGATGGGACACCCGACTGCCAAGTCTATTGAGCGTTTGTGTGAGACCTGCAGAAGAGTATCGCTTGCCAGGGTAACACTTCTTGATGTCAGAGATTTAGGCTTATTATTCCCCAGCTGCAGGTTGATGACGCTGTCATTCACCGTGACCTGCACCGTCGACCAGTCTCCGATTTTCATCTCATGTAAATTCCACAGGTGAAAATCAACGACATCTCCTTCACATTTCCCTTTAAATAGCGAAAGTCTTATATCCGGGTCCTTGACTTCAATACTGACGCAGACGAGAGGCGCCTCCTCCTCCTCCTCCTCCTTATTGTGGACTGTGAAGTCCAGCCGCCAGCCGAGGGTGAGTGGCTTAGTGGTGATGTTGACGGGGAGTGGCACAAAGCGTGTGGGCAAATCACCATCTTTTAAAATCACACAACGCTCCACCGTATTTTCCGTGTTCACCAGGGTAACCCGGGCGAGGAGGCACCAGCACCACACAGCCAGCACACTGCACTGTCTACGCGTCGCCATTATGACTAAGCAACACACTGCTCCCCGCCCGTGAGGTTCGGTGTCCAGATAAGGACCGACCAGGTATTAATCTTATCTTCGGTAATCTTATCTGTAATATGGCATGGGCACATTAATAGATCATTATATTGACGTTACTAGACAATGACTCCTGGACACAAACATGAAATGGATACACTTCCCACCATGAGTAACTCACCCTATGGATCGCGGTGTCAATGACTCACGTGTGACCTGAGGGAGGCCCAGCAGCTGGGGACTCCAACTGCAGGGGCGAGTTGTCCCTGCTAGCTGGGGACTCGGTGCTGAGAAGGGAAGTACCTCTCCTGACCTCGATTTGTGACGAGTGTGACTCCGTCTGGTTCTGGGTTCTCTCTCTCCCTGTCTGTTTCCTGGAAAGAGCTGAAGGGCTCTTTATTGGAGGTCAAAGTACGTAAAAACATTGATTAAAATACTGACTGTTTGACTCTATTATTTTCATCAATGTTTTTACGTGCTTTGAGAATTTGCAGCCCGGAATTCATTGATGAGGATTAAAAATATATCTATAATATTGGCTTGAACCTTAAGTACCCTAGATCTTTCATAGACAAATGCCTTAACATTACTAAGAGATCTTTTTATAGAACTGATCCCAAGCCCACCCATGACCATAAGAATCTCTTAGTATTACCATTTCACAAAAAATTCCCTCAAATTCCTTTACAACTAAAAACCTGGAACGTCAATGTGGCATTTAAAAAAACTCATGCACTGTTAAACAAATGTTAATCAAGAACTCCCCCAACAATACAAGTGGCTGCATTTATAAGGTTTCTTGCAAGGAATGTAATATGTTTTACTTAGGCCAGACAGGTAAAGATCTTGTAACTAGACTTAAACAACATAAATAGTGTTAGGACAGGCCAGAAATCCAATGCTCTGCTATTCATTTGAGGGATAACAAGCATTGCATTGACTGGGATAATGCCTCCTCAATATTACCTTGTAATTCAATTGACAGTCGGAACATTATAGAATCTAGTCTCATTAAACATACCGAATCACTCAACATGAATTTGAGTAATGGTATGTACAAACTGGATAATTTCGAAATTAAGAAGATTTGTAACCAGGTGAGAAGGTTGGGTCAGCTTGCCCTCTGACCTGACTACCGACTGCTGCGGTGCTTTTTGAAGATTAATAGGGTCATTACCTAATACCTGACCATTGTGGACTTGATTTCTCCCTCCTCTGTATATGTATACCTTGTTATGTACTTCTCCTTAGTCTGTACTCACCCATGAAGATGTGAATTACACAAAAGCGCTTGGGAACTTCGTGTTTTCTTCTTTATTGTATTATCAGCATATACCTATATATTACCTATTATATATATATATATATATATATATATATATATATATATATATATATATATATATATATATATATATATATATATATATATATATTATATATTATATATCTTGATAAAATCACACGGGAAAAGGGAAACAACGGAGCAACGTGTGATTTTATCAAGATTTATCTTATCCACGTTTTCATTGTAGATCTACATGAAATATATATATATATATATATATATATATATATATATATATATATATATATATATATATATATATATATATATATATATGTATATATATATATATATGTATATATATATATATATATATATATATATATATATATATATATATGTATATATATGTATATATGTATATATGTATATATGTATATATATATATATGTATATATATATATATATATATATATATATATATATATAAATTATTAGATGGTAATGGCAGTGGAAGCGCCCATTTGAGAGAAATCCCGAACCAGCACAAGAACACTTAAATTTACTAAACAAAATGAATTGTCCGTGACCCGTGGAAGGATAGCGTCTGTGACTGGGATGAATGAGACACACTGTAAAATTTACACTTATATTCCCTCCAACACTACAAACACAATCAAATAATGGTACACCAATATGCGCACCTCTTAACCTGAACTTAAAACACTACTCTGGGGAATAAAAGTTATACATGTTACGGGTGTCCCAAGGAGTTATTAGTTAGGCGGAAAATATGTCACGTAGACCTAAGCTAACGCCTTGAGAGGACACGAGGCGGGCTCTCTCTCAGTCGCGGGGAGGAGTCAAGCAGACAAGATGTCCCTGTGCGTCCGTCACAGAAATAGTCACGTGGCCTAGTCACCTGTGCTGCGCTATTGCAGTATAACAAGTAAGTCTCATTCGATCTCAGACAGGGTTAGATAGGGCAGTGGTAAAGTAAACTAGAGCTAACAGTGAGTTCATTTCAGGGTTTCCGTCAGAACCCACTTGACTGGAGTTGACCGGAGTTGACCGGAGTTGACCGGAGTTGACCGCGAGAGATTGACTGCCGTTTGAGACTGCCGTTGATGATTGAGGGTGGCGATTGTCGCCATTGGACCGATCAGTGTAGGCCTGTCACTGTTTAGCGGGGTAGCAAAGGATCTCTTGAGTGAACGAGTGCTTCCGACAACTAAAATGACGGGACCAGCATCCACAGTGGGTGATCAGTTCTTACCACTCGGTGCACAACACCACATGTCCCAAGCAGCTTAGTGAAACCCTCTTGCTAACGGGAAGCTAAAGTTTCTCTCGACTGCACAAGGTCTGATTGGCTCACTCCCTTCCTGCCCATGGACGCACTGGGGGTACACTGAGGCTATCTGAGTAAATTAATGGTCACACACTGAGACCATGAGTCTAGGACTCTAGGAGATACCTAGAGGAACATCTTCCCTCCCTTATTACGGGTGTAGTTAACATCATTCCTCAGACTGATATTATCTTGACGTGTGTAGTTTAATAGTCCTAAATAATTTTGATAGTATTGTTTTTGAATGTTTGTGCCATTAAGTGGAACCAGAGTGATACTGTGATTTGATTCTTTTAATGCATCTAATTGTTCTTCATAATTCTGATCTCAGGTATAACCTTGTTCCCCAGAGTAGTGGTTAAGTTAGGTTAGGAAGTGTGCATCTGTTGGGGTGCTATAATTTTGTTGAAAGCCCTTAAGGCCTATTCATTGTAGAGTAGTTAATTTCTTATTTTTTAATACCATTTCCTAAGTGACTGATATTATTTTGTGAAAGCCCTTAAGGCCTGTTTCATGTGTGCAAGCAACATTTCTTAATACTTCAAATTTATTGTTGCCTGTGTTTCTAATAATTTCTATATCATGTATAACTTTTATTCCCCAGAGTAGTGTTTTAAGTTTAAGTTAAGAGGTGCGCATATTGGTGTACCATTATTTGATTGTGTTTGTAGTGTTGGAGGGAATATAAGTGTCTAAATTTTACAGTGTGTCTCATTCATCCCAGTCACAGACGCTATCCTTCCACGGGTCACGGACAATTCATTTTGTTTAGTAGATTTAAGTGTTCTTGTGCTGGTTCGGGATTTTTCTCAAAGGGGCGCTTCCACTGCCATTACCATCTATTAATTTTTAATAAACCCCAAGTCAAGTGAGAAATTAAAGTCCAGTAAATTCCGACCGGTATATATATATATATATATATATATATATATATATATATATATATATATATATATATATATATATATATATATATATATATATATATATATATATATATATATATATATATATATATATATATATATATATATATAATATGCAAGTAAATCACTGTAGGTGCGCGTGATTTAGGTATATAAGAACATATGAACATAAGAAAATAAGGAGTCTGCA